GAAGAGCGAACTGGATCGACCTGCTGACCGGAAACAATCCATCGCGATCGATCATCGTCCCGGCGGCGCGACGGGCAAAATCGACTTCTTCTTCTACACTACTTTACTTTCCGAACGGAGCGCGTGCCAGGTGGGGGGGGGGGGGGGCGACAATGTCGCGCGTCCCGGACAAGACGGATCTCTGTCCCTGGCGAGTGCCGCGCGCCACCTCCTTATGTTGCTGCGCTTACCACTTTGGCACGCAGCTGCCGAAAAGTAGCGAGCAAATACCGTGCAAAGAGGCGCGCGCCATCCGTCCGCACGTGCCGGGGACGCGTCCGAAGGTGTGGCACTCTGCCCCCCGCGAGCGGACTGTACTTCCCCCCGCTTTTCAAACGCGGCCCCCTCGCGGCGCTCGCCACTGCCTTGCGCCTTGCATTCCTCAGCGCGCTGTCAGGCTTATAGGGGGCTCCCCGGGCTCCCCGGCGGGCCCCGCGGGGGGCGTGGCGCGGCGCGTGCGGCAGGGGCCCCCCAAGTCCCAGCAGCAGCAGCAGCGCAAGGCGCGCCGAAACAAAGCCGTCGTTGATTCTCGGGCACAGCTGTCATCTAGTCGGCGAGGCGCGGTCTCGTCGGTATCCCCCCTTTACCCTCCCCCGTGCCCCCGACCCGCGACTCGTGGCGCCGCGGTGCACCGAGCGGACGGAGCTGACCGGGTCAGGGGGGCGCGCCATACCACCACCACGACACGACCTGCACTAGGACCAGGTTGACCAGGCCGCCGCGCCACCAACCACCACGACCTGGACCAGGACTAGGACCACGCCGCCGCGCCACCAACCACCACGACCTGCACCACCAGGCCGCCGCGCCACCAACCACCACGACCTGGACCAGGACTAGGACCACGCCGCCGCGCCTTTAACCACCACGACCTGCACCACCAGGCCGCCACGCCACCAACCACCACTCTCTAACCACCACGACCTGGACCAGGACCAGGACCTCGCCGCCGGGAGTGCGAGTCGGCGCGGCGGCGACGGAGCCCCCCCCCCCCTCCCACCTCAACCACAAAGCGGCAACGTGCGGCCACAGCGCTATCTAAATAATTACCTGGAAAATTACCCCCCCCCCCTCTCCGTTTGATAAGGCGATAAGCAAATGTAATGTGGGGCGCGGTTGCGGGGCCGGGAGGAGCACCCCGCCCAGACGCACAAACACGCGCTGCGCTTTCGGGATGACAACACACGAGCGTGAGTGCAAGAGTCGCGCCCAGTGAAGCGCGTGAGTGTGCTGCGGGGCCGGCGACGCCCTTGAGGCCCTTGGGGCCGAGCGCCGGGCAGAGCGCCGGGCCGAGCGCCCCCCGCCCGCGGGTCCTTCCCCGCCGGTGTCGCCGAGGCGTAGAGCAGTCCTTCCGGGCCGCGGGCCTATAATGTGACCAGAGCGCGATGAGAGGAGGGGGGGGGGCATTATGAGCCGTGCAAGGCCAAGTGGGGCACGGTATTGGTGTGCTCAGGCCCGAAGTGCCCCCCCCCCCCCCCGGTTTGAGGAGTCGTTGTCGCAGCTAGAGAGGACTCTTTCGCGACTTCCCTCACCCCTATATGTACCCTGGGCCGCCCTGGGCCCAGGTCCCACGGTCCGAGAATGACCTGTGCG